CTAAAAATCAATATTATTAGTATTATTACTATGCAATCATTAAAATTTTTGTTTATGATTTACTACTTGAACAATCAATTCTACTTAGCAAGAAAACCTAACACAATAATTAGCCCTTCAAACATCATAAAGAACATTTATAGTTTCTAGAAGATTTAAATCGAAAAGAAAAAATTGCAAAAAATTTAAAAAAATATTATTTCGCTAAACTTTCTAACAAAAAAAAAAGATTAAATCCAACAGTACTTAAGTAATAAAGCTAAAGAGCGTGACCATAGCAAAGATGGCGACTATTTGGTATTCATGACGAAAAAGATCTTCAGAGTTCAAATTTAAATTTAAAAATTTTGATTTGAAAAGTAAAAATTATATCCGATGGTTAAATTCAAATAAACAACTGATACAAATTTTTAAGTGACAATTAAAAAAATATGTTGCCTAAGCTTTCTAACAGATCATACAAATGTTAATTTTAAATAAAAATTATTCTATTTTTACTCCTTATTCCAAAATATTCAAGAAATTAAAATTATTTAATACAATATAGGGATTTCTATCTAAACATTTATTTCTAGGAAAACCGGAAGTAGGTAAGCCATAAAGTCACAGATCAATAATTGATATATTTTTGAGAAAGTACCGAATGAGAAAGTATGTGAAACAGGCGGATTATATGACACGATTGGGCATATTTTTCAATTTCGCGGAAAATACATGACACAGGATGTCAAACGTTACTAATTCGTTTTTATGCAGTTGTGAGGTTATGTATAATGGTGTTAAATATTGTTATTAAAACAGGCGTTAATTGTCAATATTTATTAAGTATTGTTTTATTCGATTATTTAAGTATGTTGTAAAAACCTCTAAATACTAAATAAACTAATAGAAAAGTATGTGTGCTATAATGAAATTTATTTTTCTTTATGCCCAGAACTATATATTTACGCTCGAAATATATTTATAGTTTTGATCTATTTTCGAAAAACTGAAAATATAAAAAAACTGTATTTTTCAGGGTTATACGAAACGAACAAAATATGCCTAGGAAACATTTTCATGTGCCGGGAACAGCTCGAAGAAGATATTACAATGTTGATTAAATGGAAGACGCTTTGAGAGATGTTGTAGAAAATGGACTTTCATTTGGTCAAGCGGCGGAAAGACACGGTGTGCCAAAAGCCACACTTTATAAAAAATACAGAGGAGTGCATGGGGATAAGTTGGGTAGACCAACAGCGTTGAGTTTTTTAGAAGAGAGGGCAATAAAGAGTGCATTGGAAACAGCTGCTGGCTTTATGATGCCTTTTACTGAGAGAAGATTACAAGATTTTGTTGAGCAGTATTTAAACTGAAAGGGTGTGAAAAAACCAAGTTTTAAAGACAATCGCCCAGGAAAAGACTGGTGTACAAGCTTCCTCAAAAGGCATGAATATTTGTCGAAAAGAAACTGTGAAAATATTAAAAGATGCCGAGCTGAAGTGGGTCCTGAAACAATTCGTGAATATTTAAAAAATACACTGGAAGGAGTTTCCCCCAGCAATATATTAAACTATGACGAGAGAAATCTTGGTGATGATCCAGGTAAAGAAAAAGTTGTTGTACGGCGAGGAACAAAACATGCCAGTCGAATAATGGACTCATCGAAAAGTTCAACTTTACTTATGTTTTGTGTAACAGGTGACGGAAGTTTGCTCCCATTATACATTATACAAGGCCAAATATTTATACCCAGATTGGGTGGAAGGGGGTCCCGACGGAACAAGGTACAATCGAACTGAGCCCTGATGTTTTGACTCCGACACATTCGAAGATTGGTTTATGAAAATAGCGCTCCCATATTTGAAACGAAAAGAAGGAAAGAAAGTTATTTTAGGCAATAATTTAGGGACTGATTTCGTTTCTTTTTCCAACAAATAGTACACACATCTGCCAACATAGATGTAGCATTCTTTCGGCCCTTGAAAATTAGTTGGGGAAAAATTTTAACAAATTGGAAAAACAAAAATAGAGGTGTGGTGCCAAAACAATTTCCTAAGTTGCTAAAAGAGCTTTTGATTGACATTAATGAAAATGCTAAAGCAAATATTGTAGGTGGCTTTAAAGCAACGGGAATATCACCTCTAAATGAGGAAAAAGTTCTAGAAAAAGTCCGACCCCCTACATCTTCAAATCAACCTACTGTAGAAATAGCCATGAAGGATTCTTTTACACATATATTAAAAGACCTGACAACTGTTGCTGAAAAAACTGTTGTAAAAAGAAAACGAAAAATACAAGTTCCGGCAGGAAAGTCTGTTTCAACCGCAGATTTGGAAGTTGCCACCAGTTCCACGACCACAACCAACCAAATTGAAGACGATTTGCACGAACCAGATGAATATCAAGAAACTGATGCAAACGTAGAAATTGAAACTCATCTGAATTTTAAAACAGAAGTTACTGGACCCTGTGATATTGAAGAAGGATTTTTATTGTTGTTGATTTTACATATAATGAAAACACAAAAAAACAATGTGTGAAGGAATACGTCGCACAAATTATTAAATAAACAAAAAAACAATTGAAGTTAACTGTTTGCGAATGCATACGAAAAGAAGAGACAGTTTTATTTTTCCATAGACACGGCACAGGTGACATTGGAAGCAATTAAGTTTCGGCTATCTCAGCCTGCAATACGTCGAAGTGTGCACAGATTTCCAGGCGATGTTTTTTAATTTTAACTATTTAATTTTTTTATATTTAGGCATAGCCTTTAAAGTCACTTTTTTGTAAATTTTTTACCAACAGAATACAGGTGTTTATTTTTTTTAATAGAAAAGCCAATTTGATGGAATTAGCTTGATATTTTTAAGTCGTAACCATATTTTTTTATTGTTTCATATAGGCTGATAGACACGTCTATATGAAACGATTGCCAGAATACATAACATTTCCATTAAAATTTTTAATTGTTTCATATATCCCCATATAGCGGGTTATATGAAACGCTGGTTATTTATAAAAAAAGAAGATTAAAGCTTGTTTCATCCTATGTATATCGCAAATGTATTTCTTAAACAAACATTTATCAAAATCCTATGTTTTTTTCCAAAAACTTTCCTTGGCTAAATATATATATATATATATATATATATATGTATATCTAAGGGTTAATTCCAAGACTTTTTTTGAGATTTAACGTATAGTTCCGAGACTTTTGTTGAGTTCCAGGACGGTCTTGGAAAATTTATTTGTCTAACGGTTTCTTCCAGGACGGTCTTGGAATTGAAAATAATTATTTGTCTAACGGTTTCTTCCGGGACGGACTCGCAAATATTTTGTCCCGCAACTATACTTTTATCATAATATCAATATATTATTTTGAATTGTTATGTGAGTCATTTTCGATAATATAATATTTTAAAATATCATTATAGAATTGCATTTCACATTGTCTAATTAAATGTTTTCACAGATCAAAGAAAAAATATAATGGCTGAAATCTATAATTTCAATTCAGTCAACACTATTCTTGAAAATTCGATTACACTATCATTTTTTCTTATGTTGTTGAACTTCTTGTACCATATTTTTGAAAAAAAAAACAAATTTCCCTAAATTTTCTAAATAAAGGTTGATTATAAATAAGTACAAAAATTTTCTTTAATCTAAATTCTAGAAAGAAAAAATTCAGTTATTACTTATTTTGAACTAATTAAGGATCGCAGGTTTAGGATTTACACCTGAACAACTGCAAACCTACACTGAAAAAAATGACGTTTGTCAGATTTTTATAAACAAATATGCGAATAAATCCAAAATGTAGGATAATTGTATTGAGAATAATAGTACTATATTATTATCATTTTTGCAGATTAGATAGTTTTTCTGGATTTTCAAGCTGAAGATTGCTTAACTGTACAGAATGATACTTGTACATACAGAAATTATTAGTTTGATTGTTCAACGTATTGTATAATTCCGAGACAAAATTGTCATAAAATATATAGTTCCAGGACATTTTAATCATAAAACGTATAGTTCCAAGACAATCGTGTCATATAGTTTAACTATAGATAGATACTTAGTTACTTAGATCCAGGTTTTCTCTGTAATGGAAAAGTTTAAGCAGGTAAATAAAATTTCATTTGATTTTTCACCAATATAACGATAATTTTTCTTTAAACTAATTGTGGATTTTAGATTGTCTACTGATACTCACTGGGTAAGAAATGTTCCGGTTTTTGAGTTGATATGCGAATCTATTTGTTTGGAAAAAGTATCAAAAAATAAATGATATATTTGTTATCCATATTATTTCCACTTCTGAATCGATCAAAAATATATATATATAGAATGATGACTCTATATAATAAGTAGACAAAACATGTCAAATTGTTTGATTTTTGAAAATTGTTATGTTGTAAAATTTATTGTACCGAATTCGAAATTCAATATGCAATAAATATACATAATAATACTTTGATTTTACATCTATTGATGTTTTGACGTATTGTATAGTTCCGAGACATTTTTGTCATAAAATATATAGTTCCAAGACATTTTAATCATAAATCATATAGTTCCAAGACAATCGTGTCATAAAGTGTATCTATAGATAGAAAGTCAGTTCCAGGTTTTCTCTGTAATAAAAATTATTGAGCAGGTAATTCAAATTTCATTTTCTTTTTACCAGCATACCGATAATTTTCTCTTTTAACTAATTCTAGATTTTAGTTGCGAAAATCATATTAAAAAACTGTCTACTGATACTCACTGAGTAAGAATTGTTCCGGTTTTTGAGTTGATATGCGAATATATTTGTTTGGAAAAAGTATCAAAAAACAAATGATATCTTTGTTATCCATATTATTTCCACTTCTGAATCGATCAAAAATATATATCGAATGATGACTCTAAATAATAAGTAGACAAAACATGTCAAATTGTTTGATTCTTGAAAATTGTTACGTTGTAAAATTTATTGTACCGAATTCGAAATTCAATATGCAATAAAT